TTCAGAGAGAGAGAGAGAGAGGGAGAGAGAGAGAGAGGGAGAGAGAGAGAGGGAGAGAGAGAGAGAGAGAGAGAGAGAGAGAGAGAGAGAGAGAGGTGTCCCACGGCCCGTTCCACGAGGCTGCCCCCGGACGCTGGTCCGCTAGGCACTTGCTTGAGGGGCTGGGCGAGAAGCTCCCCAAGCCGCCGCGGAGCCTCGGCTGCATCTTCTACTCGATGTTCGTGCTCATCGACGACCTCACCCTCATCCCGCTCCGCCAGTACTTCCTCTCCGGCTCGCGCGGCTTCCGCGCCTTCGTGTCCGCAAACGTGCGCCGGACCGACCCGCGCGCGCCGCTCGCCACCTTCGAGGACTTTTTTTTACCCTAGAAGCGGAATCGTCCTCTTGTCTCCCAACCAGCTCTCGAGAGGACACGCACTCAGCCGCATTCGGTCGTATCCCGCTGTATTCACTGTCTTCGCCCCCCCTCGTATTCACGCGGTGCTCTGAGTACGCCTGCACGATACCCGTATTCGCGCCCTGAGGTTGGCATAATGAGCGCGTAGGACTTTTACACGCTGTACGTGCTCTTCTGCACGCAGAACGAGATCAACCCCCTCTCGACGGACAAGGCGTGCGGCACGTCCTGCCTGCTTGCTCTTGAACCACCACTCAGAGTCGAACTGCTGCAGTAGCAGTAGTCTGCCCGAATACACTCTCCGACCTTGTTGGCATGTGGCAACCTCCCGCCTTCTGATCTGCAGCTGCTGCGCGAGATCCGCTTCGACCGCGGGCTCGGCTCCAGGCGCGGGGGGCTGACGATGCAGACGCACACGGCGCGGAGATGTAGCCGAGATGCGGCCGAGATGCGGCCGAGATGCGGCCGAGATGCGGCCGAGATGCGGCCGAGATGTAGCCGAGATGCGGCCGAGATGTAGCCGAGATGTAGCCGAGATGCGGCCGAGATGCGGCCGAGATGTAGCCGAGATGCGGCCGAGATGCGGCCGAGATGCGGCCGAGATGCGGCCGAGATGTAGCCGAGATGTAGCCGAGATGCGGCCGAGATGCGGCCGAGATGCGGCCGAGATGCGGCCGAGATGTAGCCGAGATGTAGCCGAGATGCGGCCGAGATGCGGCCGAGATGCGGCCGAGATGCGGCCGAGATGCGGCCGAGATGAACGGTCGGCGACGCGCGCGTCCGTCAGCGTCGAGACGTGGCCGAGGCAGGACCGAGGTGTATGGCGCAGAGCGTGCCTTCCAAAGGTCGGACCGGCGTGCTCGGGGGGAGATATGGGGAGATGTGGTCCGCCAGCGGGGAGGCGCATACCAGCCGCACCTGAGTAGTGATGGTCTCGGGCAATCTCGCACGACCTGGAGCCTGCTGGCCCCGAGATATACCTGGATATGCGGAGGTATGGGGAGATGGCCGTCAGGCGCGCCGGATCCGCGGTCTCGCGTGGAAGAGGGCGGGCCCGCTCGCCGCGAGCACACCGCGAAGCCCGTTCTCGCCGCTCTCTCCGGCGGCGCGGGAATGGTCGCGCGGCGGAGGGGCGCCACCCGCCTTGGAGCGGGTGCTCACGCGGGGCTGGCTGGCCGAGGCGGCGCTGCCCGAGGAGCTGCCGCGCGAGCACGCCGAGGCGCTTCCCAACAGTCGCCGAGAATCACACGAGATCGCGGCCCCCCCACTCCGACTGGCCTCGAGGGCTCTCCCGCAATCATCGAATGGCTTTCAATGGCCTTCCAGCAATCATCGAATGGCCTTCCAGTGGCTCTCGCGCGCAAGTGGAAGCCTGTCGAGAGGGGGCTTCCGCATTCTGGAGGACACGGCGGTCCAGGTTCTATCCAATCCTTTCCAGTGGGGGCTCCAATTCTTTCCAACGCTCCATCCGCGCGGCTTCCTCCCCATGATAATGATGATGATGATGATGATAACGATGCCGAAGGCGCTCGCCGACTTCATCTTCGACCAGTGCGAGCTCGGCAGCGGCCGCGAGTTCATCGACTTGGACGACCGCGAGGCGGTGGGGGAGGAGGCGGGTCAGAAGGCCGTCAGCGTCGGCTTCGCCTCCCGCTTCGAGGCGTGGTGTAAGAGAGAAGGCCGCCCCGCCGTCTCGCTCGACGGGCAGCTCTGGGCGAGCGCGCTGCCCACGGCGGCCGAGTTCTTCCCCGCCGTGCGCGTGCGCGTCGTGTACGGCGGCGCGTGGGTGGCCGCGGGGGGCGCGCGCGGCGGCGGCGGCGGCGGCGGCGACTGCTGCCGCGGCCGGCTGGAGGAGAGGAGTGGCGGGGGGGATGACTCAAGGGCTGTGTGAGCAGGCGGCGTGGCGGGCTCGTCGTGGTGCGGGGGGCGCTGCTTCGGCCCCGAAGGAGTGCACGGCCTGCCCTCGCCGTCGTGGTACGCCATCGCGGCCGCCGCGCCCTTCTTCCACCTGTGCATCTTCGTACCGCTGCCGCTGCTGCTCCTCGTCTTCGTGATGCGCGTGCAGGACTTGTGGGCCGTCACCGTGGCGCCGCCCACCGTACACGGCGCCGAGCCCGGGGACCGTGGGGTAGGGGAGGGTGGGTTCGGGGACCGTGGGGTAGGGGGAGGGTGGGTTCGGGGACCGTGGGGTAGGGGAGGGTGATTCTCCTCACCAGTTCATGATCCGCTGCTCGCTTATTGGTTAGGCGCGGAGCCCGAGATCTCGCTCGACCTCTTTCGGCCAAACTTCTTCACTCTGCTGCAGCAGCGGGCGAGCGGAGGAGGCCTCTACCTGCTGCCACTCGAACGACCGAAGAATCACACCGTGGAATGATCGAGTAGGCGAGCGGAGACCTGTACCTGCTGCCACTCGTGGAGGGCGTGCTCTACGAGTGGCTCGCGGTCTGCATCGCCACGCTGGCGAGGGGTGCCCTCTCTCCGGCGGACATCTCTCGGACACGTCCGCGACATGTCCGAGACGCGTCCCGCAGGTGCGTCTGCTGCTGTACTATGCGGACGTCGACGAGAAGGCGTGCCCGCCGATGGCGCGCTACCTCATCCGCGGCGTGAGGCTCGAGAAGTCGCCGAGAGATCGCCCCGAGAGATCGCCCCGAGAGATCGCCCCGAGAGATCGCCGAGAGATCGCCGAGAGATCGCCGAGAGATCGCCGAGAGATCGCCGAGAGATCGCCCCGAGAGATCGCCGAGAGAGCGCCGAGAGAGCGCCGAGAGAGCGCCACGAGACATCGCCAAGAGATTGCCGAGACCTTGATCCGCCCTCTCCACGCCGCACATGTCCGGGACGCGTCCGCGACATGTCCGAGACATGTCGCAGGTACGCGTACTCCGCCCTCTTCACGCTGCACATCTGGCTCTACTGCTCGCTCGCCATGATGGTCTGCTGCTGGGTCGTCCTCGCCGCGGCGCTCGACCCGACCCGCTTCCTCGCCTTCGGCACCGCGATCCCCAGCCTAATCAACACGAATGAACACGAATTGCCACTAGTTGACCACATGAATGAACACCAATCAGGCACCGCCATCCTCACCACCGTCTCGGCCGTCGCGTGGTGGACGAGCGCGATGATGCGCGCCGCGCGCCGCTTCCGCGCGTGGGTGCGCAATGCGCTCGAGCGGATGCTAATTAACACGAATTAACACTAATTAACACTGATTCACACTGATCAACACCAATTAACACTAATTAACACTAATCAGGTGCGCACGGCGCTCGACCGGATGCTGCACACGCGCGCAAGCCGGCTCGCCGCCCTCGAGGAGGTGTCTCGGGCGTGTCTCGGACGTGTCTCGGAGGCTGTCTAGGCGCGTCCGGCTCGCCGCGCTCGCGATCCAGCGCGCGGCTCTCGTCGAGGACTATCAGCGGGACACGCTGTCCGACCCGGCGGCGGCCGCTGTCGCGAAGGCGGAGCTCGAGTCGCTCACGGCGGAGGAGAAGCGGCTGCGCGCGGTGCAGGGGCGCGGGCTGTGGCAGGGCGGGCGGGCGGGCGAGGGCGAGGCGGAGCCGGTCGACGCCTCGACGATCTTCGACACGCTCGGTGGCGTTGGGGGAGGGGGCCCGTAGTTCTAGCAGCAGCAGGAGCAGCAGGAGCAGCAGCAGTAGCAGTGCAGTGGCAGTAGTGGGGGCCTTCCAGGCTCGGGGCGGGGCAGGGGAGGGATCTCATTCACAGCGAGCACTGTGAATAGACCGCGACCGCGACGACCTCATCTCGATGGCCGAGTTCGAGTACTTTTTCGAGACGCTCGAGCTGCCGCTGCAGAAGGGCGCGCTCGTGGCGCTGCACGCGCAGCTCGACGTCGACGGCGAGGGCACCGTCTCGCTCGGCGAGTTCGAGGCGGGGTGGGAGGAGGTGCTCGACGCCGTGATGGAGCAGGCGCTCGTCGCCGAGAGCCACCCGAGAGTGCGATGCGCCGAGAGGACCCGAGAGGACCCGAGATCGTGACGGAGCAGGCGCTCGTCGCCGCCGGCTTCTCCGCGCGGCAGATCCTGCTGTACGGCCTCGCGCTGCTCGCCATGGTCTCGCTCGGCGCCGCCTTCATCCTCGTCGCGCTGTCGGGCTGGCGGCGCGAGAGCCTCTCGGCGATGGTGGTCGAGTCGGGCCTCATCGCCGCGGTGGGGGGCATCACCGCGCGGTACCGGGAGAAGTCCGACGCCGAGAAGACCGCCGAGGAGCTGAGCCGGATCGTCAACGACGCGGTGGCGGGCGCCGAGGCCGCGTCCAAGCCGAAGCAGGACTGAGGCCTTTGTTCTCCCTGGACGTACAGACGTCAGTATTCGCGGAGTCGCATATATTACTCACCGGAGTCCATCTCTCAATCACTCGCCAGACGTGTCAGCTACGGGATGTACGAGTTCGTATTACGTGTTTTACGTCAGCGCCGGCCCTCCTCAACTCTCTCACAAAACGAAAGACACAGGTCACAAAAGGACGCACTCTCTTGTCTCTACATAATCTTAATCAGACACGAGACACGAGACACGATGTCGATGACGGCGGTCGCCGGTCCTCTGCGCTCTGGCGCCGCGGCGCTGGAGCTCGGTCGCGATCTCACCCGCCGCCGCGAGCGGCAGCGCGACTGGCATGGGGCCTGCAGCGACAGTCACGACCGCGTCGACTAGCTCTCGATGTGGATGTGCGGCGGCGGTGCTGGTGGCGGCGGCGCTGGTGGCGGCGGCAGGGGCGGCGGCGTCGGCGGCGTCGGTGCCGACGGTGGTGGAGGAGGAGGCGGCAGCACCATGCCCACAAACTGCATTATCTCTCGAGTGGACTGCACAAGATCCGCAATGTCTGCCTTCATCTCGGCCTGTTCTGCTACGATTTCATCGATTGATGTGCCGCGTGCTTCACCAGCAACAGCCGGCGCAGCTGCGACCTCGGGTTCTCCGCCGCCGAAAAGACTCGGGATGCCAATATCAATCGGGAACCATGACCTCTCCTCTGCACTTGGCACGACGAGCAGCCGTCGGGCCGGAGAGACGCTGAGCGCGGCGAGAAGGAGCAGCGCGAGGGCCACACAGACACACGGGAGCCGAGAGGGAGCCCCGCCGACAGCGCTGATCATCCCTCACTCGGTTGGAAGTTCGGTCACCCAAAGTTGCAATAGGAACGGACGCGGGCGAATTGAAACCCGATATGCAGACGCGAGCGAAGTGGCGTGCTATATTGTCGATGAATGCGTTCAATATGCAGAATCTAAACGTACAACTCTCACCCCCTCTCTCTTTTTTTTCTCCCAGTAAGCTATAAGTACGTACGTACAACTCTTTTTAGAAAAAACGAATATGTGAGTGCCTGAACTCAGCTCTCATGTCTCTCACAGAAAGCACGCGATTGCACACATAATTCGATAACGCACACGGCGGCGGGGTTAGGGCCTGCAAGGGGCACGCGTCGTAAAAGGCGGCTCCCATGGTGTGTAAAGTACCTGTGTTAGTGCCAGTGCGCCAAAATTGTCTGTCTGAGTGTGAGCCCTATCTAGCACGGAACAAAAAAGCGCGTGCTCTCTGCTCAAACATAACCGCAGACAGAGTCCAGAGAGGCACACAGCTAAAAACTAAAAGTCGGCTGACAAAAGTCAAAGCGGTTCAGCGCACCCGGGTGCAGAAGGTGGATCTGTACATCAAGCGCGCAAGTGGAGAGGGTGGTAGCAAGTAAAGTGGCACGGGGGAGGGGGGCTACGCGTGAGGCGGCCCGGCACAGACGCGGAGAGCGGGGATCCCCAAGACCGGGGAGTGGGGATTCGCGCCGCACACCGTTCACGAGCGATGGTGCGGCTTCAGGCAGCAGCCTCGCTGTGCTGCTGGCCACCGCGCCGCTCGGACGCGGCGATGGCGCCGAGCAGCGCGGGGGCGGCGTGGCCTATGCAGCCGAGATCGGGCCGAGATCGACCCGAGATTGAGCCGAGATCGTGCCGAGATCGTGCAGCAAACGCTTCCCATATCTCCCCCATATCTCCATCGTAACTCCTCAGAACCCCCCAGAACTCCCCAGATCTGCCCATGCTAGCTGCCGGCCGCCTGCGGTCGCGTAGGCCCTCGCCGTGATGCGCAGCTGCTCCGAGTCGAACTCATGCAGCCTCGGCGCCGCCTCGATCGCGATCTCATCCAGCAGCGCCGGGGCGGCGTGGCCCGCGGTGGCGAAGGCGGCGGCCAGGTTGGCCAGCTCGTGAGTCGAGAACTCGCGCAGCCGCGGCGCCGCCTCGGCGGCGAGCGCATCAAGCAGCGCCGGCGCGGGCTGGCCGGCGCGAGAGAAGGCCATCGCGATGGTAGCGAGCCTGCGAGATATGGGGAGATATGGGGATGGGAGATAGAAGGCCATCGCGAGAATACAGATGCGCATGCAGTGGACGCCGCTGACTGCGCGAGCAGGCAAGGAGCACACGCCGGGGAGTGAGGGGAACGGGTAGCCCGTGAGAGAGCGTGCAGCCTGAGACGCCAACGGGAGTGCAGAGAGGCTGCCAAGCAGGAAAGGGAGGGTCTACGGTAGCGAGCCCGCGGGCGGAGATATGGGGAGATCTGGGGAGATCTGGGGAGATCTGGGGAGATCTGGGGAGATATGGGGAGATCAGGGGAGATCTGGGGAGATCTGGGGAGATCTGGGGAGGTACCCGCGGGCGGAGAAGCGAGGCAGCCGCGGCGCCGCCTCCGCCGCAAGCGCGTCCAGCACCGCCGGCGCCGCCTCGCCGCCCCTGCCCCCGCTAGCGCGGCCGTACGCCCAGGCGGCCGTCGCGAGGTGCTGCGGCGAAAAGTCGGACAGCCTCGCCGTCACCTGCGGCGAGGTCGTGGGGAGATTGCGGCGAGGTTGAGGGGAGATCGCGGCCTCTTGCAAGAGAGAGATCTGCATCTAGGCCACACCTCGGGCACACCTCGGCCAGATCTCGGCTATCTCGCCGTCACCTCGCCAGCGATGCCGTCGAGCAGCTGCGGCGCCGCCGCCGACCCGCTGCTCGCGTACGCCCACGCGATCGCCGACAGCTGGTGCGGGCCTAGAGGCAGAATACGTCAGAGCAGCGTCTTCGGAGCAGCGCGTGAGTACAACGAGAAGAAGGCAGGCAGTGACGACAGCGGAACACAGCGGAACACAGCGGAATGCGGCGGAACAGCGGAGTACGTGTCCTCTCGAGTGCTGGTTGGGATACAAGAATGCGTGTTCCGCTTCTAGGGGCGCGGGCCGAACGCGGCGCGGCGAGCGCACGCCTAATGTGTGGCAGCCGCCCCGTTGGCTGAGTGTCTTGTCTTGTGGCTCTGTGTGTCGCTCCTGTGTGGCCGTCATCGCCCGTCTAGCGCCCACCCATACCGCGTTGGTGTCCCAGTCGTTGGTTGGACTGTGTTTCGCCTTCCTCGGCTTTATCTATCTATCTAGTACTGTGTGTGTGTGTGTGTGTGTGTGTGTGTGTGTGTGTGTGTGTGTGTGTGTGTGTGTGTGTGTGTGTGTGTGTGCATCTATCCGACGCCTCTGCAGCCACGGCGGCGTCGAGGCGCGCGTTGGCGTGCCCCGCCTTTGCGTACGACCAGGCGAGGCACGAGAGCTGCTGCGGGTTGAACTGGCCTAGAAGGTTCATAGAAGGTTCGTAGAAGGTGGCATGGAACTTCCGCTGCTGCTGCGGGTTGAACTGGCCGAGCCGCGGCGTCGCCTCGCCGGCGATCGCCTCGAGCAAGCTTGGAGCGGCGTGCCGCGCCGTGGCGTACCTATGGGTACATTCATCCATTAATTAACGAATTCAAGTGCCGCGCCGTGGCGTACCTATGTTGCCGAGTACGCCGACATGAGGGCGGGAGTACGGTGATGTGCGCAGTGTGTTCAGAGCACCGCGTGAATACACGGGCTGCGACGACGACCGCAAACACAGCGGGACACGCGGGCGAATGCGGCGGAGTGCGAGTCCGCTCGAGCGCTGGTTGGAAGACATCAACGTGCGCTCCGCCCGTGCGTCACTACTAGCCTGCCCGTGTTTGTAGCCTGGCGGCGAAGGAGGAGGCGGCGAGGGAGGAGGCGGCGAGGGAGGAGGCGGCGAGGGAGGAGGAGGCGAAGGAGGCGGCGGCGAGGGAGGAGGCGGTAAGGGAGAGGGCAGCGAGGGAGGAGACGGCAGGGGAGCAGGCGGCGAAGGAGGCGGCGGCGAGGGAGGAGGCGGTAAGGGAGAGGGCAGCGAGGGAGGAGACGGCAGGGGAGCAGGCGGCGAAGGGTTCCGCTTCTAGCGCGGAGTACGAATGAATTCCTCTCCCCTCAATTCATTATGTAATCAGTCGACTCCTGTTCCGCTTCTAGCGCGGACTACGCCCAGCTGAGGTTGGCCAGCTCGAGCGGCTTGAAGGCTTGCAGGCGCGGGGCGGACTCGGCCGCCACAGCGGTGAGGAGGGAGGGCGCGCGGTGCCGCGCCGCCGCGAAGGCCCACGCCGTGTTCGCGAGCGACTGCGGGGAGACGGTGGCGCCGGTGGTGCCGGTGGCGGTGTCGGTGTTGGCGGTGTTGTTGGTGGTTGCGTTGGTGGAAGTGTTGGTGTTGGTTGTGGTTGTGGTGTTGGTTGTGGTTGTGGTGTTGGTGGTGGTGTGTTTGTTTGTGTTTGTGTTGGCGGTGCTGTTGCTGCTGGTTCTGAGAGCGCCTGCGGCGAGAAGGAGCCGATGCGAGGCTCCGACTCCGCTGCGACCGAATCGAAGAGCGCCGGCGCGGGGCGCGACACGCGCGCGTACGCCCACACCGTCGTCGAGAGCTCGAGCGAGTTGCACTCGCTCAGCGAGGCGCCCGCCGCGGCGGCGACGCCATCCCACACCTCCTCGCTCGGTCCGAATCCCGACGCATCCGCCAGCGACGCGAGGCCGTGCGCCGTCGACGCGGCCGGCCTCGCGCCAAAGCGCGGCAGCTCGCGGCGCGTCGTGTCGAGCAGCGGCTGCAGCGCGGCCGGGTGGCGCCGCAGCACCGAGCGCAGCCAATTCCGCTCGGCCGGCTCCCGCCGCGCCAGCCTGCCGAGCACACTCCAACAGGCGGAGATGTCGAGCGGACCCATCTGCTTGCAGTGCGCCTCGTGTGCCTCGAGGACCGCCTTGGCGCTGCGGAGGCGGGAGTAGCGGGGCTGCATGGCGTGAGACCGGGCCGGTTAACCCGAGCAGAAAGCCCATCGCCTCGTTACCCTCCCGCCGCCTCGCCGCTACCTCACCCGCTCGCGCCCGACTTTCTACTTCCCCGTGATCCAACCCGCCACCCCCCTCGCCTCGTTACCCTCCCGCCGCCTCGCCGCCACCCCGCCCGCTCGCGCCCGACTTTCTACCTCGTGACCCAACCCGGAACCCGCCACCCCCTTCGCCTCGTCACCCTCCCGCCGCCTCGCCGCTGCCCCGCCCGCTCGCGCCCGACTTTCTACCTCCTCGTGATCCAACCCGCCACCCCCCTCGCCTCGTCACCCTCCCGCCGCCTCGCCGCTACCTCGCCCGCTCGCGCCCGACTTTCTCTTCCTCGTGATCCAAACCCCCACCCCCCTCGCCTCGTTACCCTCCCGCCGCCTCGCCGCCACCCCGCCCGCTCGCGCCCGACTTGGTGGTGCCGCCGCGTGTCCCGAAGTGGCGCCGCCCATTTCGCACCATTGCTCAATACAGGCTCCGCCGTTCCTTCGCCGCTGTGGTCTGCCGTCGTGCCGCCGTTCCTTACCGTGCCGCTCCTTCCTCCGTGCCACCGAGGCTTCGACCACCGAGGCTTCGGCCACCGAGGCTTCTGCCACCGAGGCTTCGGCCACCGAGGCTTCGGCCAACGAGGCTTCGGCCAACGATATTATTGCTGCCGCCCCCCCTGCCGTCCGTTACCGCCGTGCCGCCGTACCGCCGCTCCTACAGTGCCGCGCCCGCCGCGCCGTATGTCCCGCCGTCCGATGTCCTGCCTGCCGCCTGCTGCCGCCGCGCCGCCTTACCGCCGACCCTTATCGTGCCGCGCCGCCTTTACACACACACCTTACTTTCTGCTCGACCGAGTTTGCGCTGATGAGCGAACCGAGCCGCCGGGTGCCCCGCAGCGGCCTCGCTGGGCCAGAACATCGGCCCCGAGTGCTCCGCAGCAGCCTTGCTGGGCCAGAACGTCGGCCCGCGAGGTGGGGTGCTAGTCTGGGACCCATACGTGGCAGTTCCCTTGCTCCAAGCGCTTGCGCTTCGGCGGTAGTGATCTGATCACCCGAATACCACGTTCGGATCGCTCCTCATCGCAAACCCTGTCAGCAGTTCACCTACGGGTATGTTCGTAAGAGCTACATACACTGAAAAATCGAGCACAATTGCGTTACATGGGCATGGCCGGGGTTTCACCGAACGATCTTACTTTCGGTCTATCGAAAGTGTTGATCGATAAAAAACATCTGTTCGACGCTCCCGCCCCCCGCCTCCGCGTTCAGGGCAGCCAAAAGGGCTGCTTGCGAAGCGGTCAATGCCGATTGCGCCGGATCGCGTCCGCGGCGCTCTCGAGACAATACGCTCGAGGGTCGTGCGGACGCCGCTGCTCGAGTCTCCTCTTCTCAATGAGCTCGTGCGCAGTCGCCGCGGCGTGGCAGACGCTCGCGTCTTCGTCAAGGCCGAGTGCCTGCAGCACACAGGCGCCTTCAAGTTCCGAGGAGCGCTCCACAAGCTGCTCTGCATGGACGACGAGACCCGCGGCCGCGGCGTCTGCGCCTTCTCGTCGGGAAACTTTGCGCAGGCCGGCGCGGCCTGCCTGACTCGCCTGCCACGGCGGCCCTCTCCTCTCACCATGTCTCACCTTCTCCGCTGATTTCACCCCGCTCCGCTACCTCACCGTGCTCCACTCTTCCTCTCACCTTCTCCACTGACTCTCACCATTCTCCGCTGCCGGGCACGGCTGCCGTTCTGCAGCCTTCTCCTCTCACCATACTCCGCTGCCTGACCGCACTGCAGCCCTCTCCTCTCACCACGCTCCGCTGCCTCCCCGACCTCTCTCCCAGGCGCTCGCGCTCGCCGCCCGCGAGACGGGCGTGCAGTGCACCATCATCGCGCCGCACGACGCGCCCGCCGTCAAGATGGAGCGGACGCGCGGGTACGGCGCGGAGCTAGTCTTCTCGACGCCCGCCGCCGGCGAGAACCGCGAGGTAGCGGCCGCCGCTCTCGCGGAGCGGTTCAGCGCGACGAGCGGCCGCCGGCCCCTACCGACCACGGGACTGAACCCACACCGGGTTCGTTACTCTGGAGGTGTGGTACTAGGCCGCACGCTGCTCCACCCGTTTGACGACGAGGACGTCATTCTCGGCCAGGGCACGCTGGCGCTGGAGCTGTTTGAGCAGCACGCGGAGGCCGGCGCGGCCGGCGGCGCCGGCGGCGGCCGAGTCGCGCCGTTGTCTCGGCTGCTCGTGCCGACCGGCGGCGGCGGCATGGCCGGTTGCTGCTGCCTGGCGAGGGATGCCTATCTCCCCATATCTCCCCGTACCTCCCCGTATCTCCCCCGTAGGCGGCTGCTGCCTCGCGAGGGATGCCTATCTCCCCATATCTCCCCGTACCTCCCCGTATCTCCCCCGTAGGCGGCTGCTGCCTCGCGAGGGATGCTGCGAGCCCGCAGACGCAGGTGTGGGCGATCGAGCCCGAGGGGTACGACGACCACCGCACGTCGCTTGCCCGCGGCGAGCGGACGCCGCTCTCCGGCACGCACGCCTAGGAGCGGAGCACGCATTCTTGTATTCCAACCAGCGCTCGATAGGATACGCGTTCAGCTGCATTCGACCGCATTGAGCTGCATTCGCTGTGTGTGTGTGTCCCTCATATTCACACAGCGCTCTCCGGCACGCTTGCCTAGGAGTGGAAAACGGGTTCTTGTATCCCAACCAGCGCTCGAGAGGACAGTTGTTTCACTGTATTTGTGTCCTGGTATTCGCATAGCGCTCTGAATACTCTGTACAATACCGTCTTCCCGCCCCGAGGTTGGTGGATTCAGCATGTAGGCACGCCTGCGACGACCATCTGCGACGCGCTGCAAGCAAACGCGCCAGGTCACGTCACCTTTGCCATCAACAGCCGCGGCCTCGCGGGCGCCGCCGCGGTCGGCGACGCCGACGTCATCGAGGCGATGCGGGTGGCGTTCGAGACGCTCAAGCTCGTCCTCGAGCCGAGCGGCGCGCTCGGCCTTGCGGCGCTCCTCAGCGGCCAGGTGCCGCTGCGCGACGGGGAGGGCGTGGCCGTCGTCGCGTGCGGGGGCAACGTGGCACTGCCGGACTTCCTCGGGCTCGTACAGCGTGAGAGGACGCAGTGACGTTCATGTGACAAGCAGAGCTTGCGTCGTGCGGTGTGTTGACAAATCGCTTGCGTATTTTTTACACTAGCAGCACAGAGCGTGTCAGTGACCAGTGATCAGTCGTGAGCCCGTCCCGAACGCGACGCGTGCCCCTGGGGTCGTGAACGCCACGCATCGCGCTTGCGCACCCGCTCCCAGGCGGCGCCGGCCGCCGCCGGGGTTACAGCTTACAGGGCCGCCGTGTGCGTTATCAAATTATGTGTGTAATCGCGTGCTTTTTCTGTGAAAAAAAGAGACGTGAGAGATGAGTTCAGCACTCACATATGTAACTCATAACGAGCTCGCATGGAAGGTTGCTCCCCAAACCGCTCCGCTCTGTCCATCATCACGCGCTCGAGCCGACATGTATGCCTGCCCTCCGGCGTGGATGGTCTTAACGTCAAAGACATGGATGGTCTGCCGCATACCGCTCGAGATGCCCCCGACGCTCGAAAGCGGGAATGGTAAAACGTGTGTAAAACGAAACCGGGCAACTTGGGCAATCGTCGGACTGTCGCGGGGCGGGGTACCGGATGGTTGGCCTTGAAGCCCGAGGGTTGCGGAAGGCGCGCGGCGGGGGCCGGCCTCGGGGTGAAGCCGGCCGCCGCCACCGGGGGCCGCCGCGCCGTAGAGCGGCCCGCCGGTCTTCCTACCGGCGGTTCGCGCGGCCGCGCTCGGAGGCGCTGATTGCTCGGCCGCGCGGGGCCGGATGACTCGCCCGCTGGGGGTGGGGTGCACGGGGTTTGCGGCGGGGTCCCCAACGTCCCCGGGGCGGCGGCGCGCGGGCGGCGTGCCGCGCGCCGCCGCCGCCCCAGAGCGGCCCTGATGGCGGTGAGCTCGGTGTCGCTCTCCATCGTGTCGAAGAGCATCCTTGTCTCCTGCTCGAGATTTCGCACTCGAGACCTGCTCCGCAGGATCTGGATCTGCGCGCGGATGTGCTCGATCTCCGCTTGCATCTCCGTGAGCTCGGCGCGGTCCGCCCGCCTCTCGGGCTTGTGGGACGCGCCGTCCAAGTCGACATAGCGATCTCCCTTGTCTGAGGGAAGATCGCCTTCCGTGTCTGCCTCTCTCCCCGCAGTCCGCTGCGGTGGGGTCGACGAGCCGCGACGTGCGATGTGCTTGCGCGTCTCGTGCAGCGCCGGGGGCTCGCACGTGCGGAGGGCACGTCCCCCGGGCACGACGCCCGCCTGGACGCCGCCGCCCAGAGCAGCTGGCGTCAGGAGCGTTCGGCTCTGCAGTGTGTCGCGACCGCTCCCCTTCGAGGGCACCCTCGCCGGGTGCACCGCACGCCTTGTCGCTCAGCGATGGCACGGAGCGCCGCTGCGCGTCGTGGTGCCACTGCGCGCCGTGGTCTCGTAGCTCGTGGCGGGGATCGTGATCCGCGCCGAGGGTCTCCTTGGCGTCGTACGCCACGTGCATGCCTGCAGGGGCGTGCGCCCCTGCAGTGCGGATCCTGACTTGGCTCGCAGCGCTCGCACTGCCGTCACGATCCGGTGCTCCGCGGGACCATGCCCTCGGCGGGTCGTCCGACCCCATGGTTGTGTAATGGAGGCGCGTCCCCTTTGACATGGGCGCTACTCTCTCCACTGGAGGGTTCATTTCCACCCGCGGACTCGCTCCGTACGAACTCGCTGTATGGGTAGTTTCATTCATAGCTATGGGCCTGCGCGCCACGCGCAGGCCGATTGCAGGGCTCTCCCACAACCACGCTGACCCGGATCCCAGGACCAACGACAGAGGCGAAACGACACTCGGCCCGCCGACACAATTCGACCACTGGACACTATATCTAAATCCGAGCACAAAACGGGGGGCCCTTCCCACGCTGGGCCCTCACCTCGCGAGAGTCTGAGCCAACCCATGAGACGGTCAAACGGATTGGGACTCGGCGTCGAGCGCATCGTTCACTCCTCCTCGTCGGGGTCCGAGGACTCGTCTGCGACGACCGGCTCGGGCTCCTTGGCCGCCGGCTTGACCTTGGGCTCCTTGGCCGCCGGCTTGACCTTGGCTGCAGCGGTCCTCGCAGACTTTCCGACACGCGCGCCGACCTGTTGACGCCGCACGCTGTGTGAACAGACGCCCCTCACAGCTCGCAGACCCTCCCACCCGCCCGCCCACCTTTGCCGAGAGCGGGAGCGCCACGTGCTCCACGGCGGCGGCGGAGAGTGGGTCGGCTTCGTACGCCGCGCGCTTCATCAGGCCCACCGTCTTGGCAGCCACGGGGGCAGGGTCCGCCGCCGCAGTCTGCACCGCCTGCTTCGCCGCCGCCGCCGCCGCCGCAGGGTCCGTCACCGCAGTCTGCGCCGCCTGCGCCGCCTGCTTCGCCGTCGCCGCCGCCGCCGTCGCCGCCTCAACCTTAGTGTACGCCGCGCGCTTCATCAGGCCCAACGTCTTGGCAGCCACGGGGGCAGGGTTCGCCACCGCAGTCTTCGCCGCCTGCAGCGCCGCCGCAGGGTCCGCCACCGCCGCCGCCGCCGCCGTCGCCACCTCCGCCACCACCTCAGCCTCCTCGGCGCTCAGCCCTGACGAAGCCACAGCCTCCTTGGCGGCGTCCTTGGCGGCGTCCTTGGCGGCGTCCTTGGCGGCGTCCTTGGCGGCGTCCTTGGCGGCCGAGGCGACGTCGGTCACGCCGTTTTTATCGTTTTCCGCTCCTGCGATTGCGTTCTGCATCTTCGTGGCGGTGCAACCCATTTTGAGCGTTTCCTGCAGGAGACGAGAGGCGTCATTCGGATGTGAACGCATTCCGCAACCGGTGACGGCAGGTGAGTGATGGGGGCGGCGCTGTGACAGAAGAGGAGGCGGCGGAGGAGGCGGAGTGCGTGTGGGGAGAGGGCGGTGAAGAGAGCCGCGCGAGGGCAGCAGTGAGAGAAGAGCTTGCGAGGTTGTGTGGGACAGGACGCCGAGGCGTGAGTGTCGCAACGACAACGTGATAGGTTGCCGACACACTCTCACGCGTCCACGCGGCGCTCGGACTGGAGCCGGGCGGCGACTGGCGAGAGCGAGCGGGCTGTGTTGCCGGCAGAGAAAAGGAAGGGCGGTCCGGCGCGGGACAAGGGTGGCGAATGGGCAGCAGCTGACGCGTCTCGCGGCTCCGCAGTGCCCAGTTACCTGTGTACCGCTCTTTGGCACCGAATCTTGTGTGCTCGCCGCGGGCTCGATCAAAAAGAGCGCCTTCGGCACTACTCCCTCGAGGTCTCGCGGATCTTATAAATCAGCCGAACGGCCTTTTTCAAGCGCCGGACTCGTTTTTTTCACTTGTTTTCAGGTGGGACTGGGGAGATACTCCATGGGGGTGGGCGATAGCATCTGAGGGAGGGTGTAGAGGATGTAGAGTGTAGAGCGCTGTAGAGCTGTAGAGATGTGGAGCGCTGTAGAGCTGTAGAGCTCTACATCCGGCGCGTGACGATGCGCCTCCGTTGTAGAGCGATGTAGAGAGGCGCTCTACAACGTGAAATCTCTACAACAAACTCTACATCATAAGCGGCGAACGAGGAGGCACGCGTCGCTCTCCGACATGAGGCGCGTTGCACTTGCCAGTGCTGCCCTGGCCTTCTGTCTGCCCGCCCAATGGGTAGGAGGTGCCTCTGCTGCTATGGCATGCCTCACGGCTGCGACTGGCCGGCGCCTCGGCGCGTCAGCTCGGCTCGGCGTAACGATAGTGGCCAGCGCAACTCGCCTGGACTCAACGCTCAGCCAGGAGCTCCCGCACGCGCTGGCGCGAGTCATGGCTCATGCAACGCTCAACAATGATCCCCTCGCCTCGCGCAAATGCGACCGTCCTCGCAGCCGACAGTCCACCGCCTGCTAAAGAAGCACAGCGACGAATGCGGCACCGGCGACACATGGCAGGCTGGTCATGACGCAGTTATAGGGTGTTGTGTGCCGTCGGAGTGACTCTCTGTGTGTCAGGGATAGTCAGGGCTGTCCATCAGAGCTCCAGTAAGCTCGGAGACACCCCATTAGCGCGGCTCGACCTCTTTGAGTCACTGCCTTCCCGGCGGTTTGGCTGTAGAGCCTCTACAACAAACTCTACAGCAAAATCGCGCTCTACATCGCTCTACAACGGAGGCGCATCGTCACGCGGCGGATGTAGAGCTCTACAGCTCTACAGCGCTCCAGAGCGCTCTACATCTCTACAGCTCTACAGCGCTCTACACTCTACATCCTCTACACCCTCCCTCAGGATAGCATGTGAGTGAGAGATAAGGTAAGGTAAGGTAAATTTCTCCACACACACAAAGTGGTGGGGCAAGGGGGGGCGACCCTCGCATCTCCACACCCGGACACGGGCAGGAGCCCCACGGCATTCAAAGTGCAAGCACTGGCCCGGTGCACGTGGTGAGCAGCCTGCCCCTCCCTCCCGACAAACCAACTCCCGCACACACACAATCGCACTCTGGCCATCGAATGACTCCGAATGACTCACTGTGTGTGCTAAGACAGAATCTCCGCAGACATCCAAAACGGGCCGTGCCGCGTTTGTGGTGTCTTCTCAAGCACTAGCATCCGGGCGCCGCACTCGAGTGGGCGGGTCACATCTATGTGGGCCCAGTGTGCGCACTCGGCGCATATGCTAGTGCTATCCTGCCCTATGGGAGGCAGAGGGATGGGGGGAGGGGGGGGCAGAGGTAAGGTGGGGTGAGACTGGGGAGGACCTCAGAGATCCTCCATGGGGGTGGGGTCCGGCCCGAACAGGTCGAAGCCGGTCCCGCCATCGCCGCCGACGCCGTCGCCCTCGTCCGCCTTGGAGGCGGAGGTCGTCGGGCGGGGCGCCTCGCCCGTCGCGAACCTGCCGCTGAACACGGCGTCGGCCGGCGCCGAGGCGCCAGCAGCCGTGATCAGGTCGGCGACCTTTCGGTCCCTGCAGGCCGCATCAATTTTGCCGCGCCGGGACGGCTCGTAGAGCTCGTTTGCGAGCCAGTCCCGGGCGACCTTCGTCGCCACGGAGCCCAGAGGGACCGTGGCGTACACCAGGTCGCCGAACCCGCTGCCCCCCTCGGGAGGGAGCGAGTAGGCGACCTGAATATTGGACCCGCTGGGGTTGCGCGCCGCCTGCGTCGCAGCCTCTAGGCCGTCCATCACGAACTTGACGTTCTCGCGCAGGTTCATTACGGTCTACCGGTACTCGAGTAGACTGCGGTAGACTCGTGGTAGACTCGTCTACCAAATGGGCAGGGAGAGCTCGAGCGGGCGGACCAGGCACTCGGCGACCCGCACTGCAATCGCCACGTTACCACGCCTCGCATTCCCTCACCCTTCGCTACCTCCCGCCTACCTCCCGCGCCGCCACCCTGTCCTACCCTAATTGCTCTGAGCGCCATTCGCTTCTATCACCCACTCGCGCCTCTTCCTGCCGCGCCTGACGGACGTCGCACGCCTGTCCACAGGCCGACGTACGGCCGACATAGACACCGACGGATTGCAGCGTTTCCTGGTCCTGCCTCGTGTGTGTGCCCTCATGATGGGGTGCCTGCGCGCGCATCCTGAATTGCTTCATGCATCTTGGGATGCTCGAAGCAATCGAAATTAGAATGGAGATCGTATCGGGCAATTTCAGATGCCTCAGCATCTCTCAAATTTTGCGGGTTCCCCGCCCCTGAGCCTGACGCACCGTTACACCGAAAAAGGCTAGTTCCATTTCACTCTGACACGCTAATCTTGAAAACGTCCAACGGAGCTCCGTGTTGCTCCCAGCGCCCTCCCCCGTGCTTCCTGCGGCCCTAGCCGATGGTACTAGCATGGGAGGTCATCTGGCTACCGCGAGAGCGACCCAACTCGTCGACATCGTCCGATGATGGTGCCTCAAAGTCAGCCTTCGGAGGCTATCGTGGGGTCGAGCCGGCAGTAGCCGTGACATGTGGTTCCACCACCCCTCGTAGTCTTTGCCTCTGACCGCCACCGTTCCCAGGCTGCCTAATGGGATGAAAAGGAAGGCTCGGCGAGCGTATAGAAGCGTGCTCGACCTCGTCGTGGCAACCTGCACGGCATCGCTGGCAGGCGCGATGAGCGTCGTGCCACCTGACCCGAGACGGGTCGCAGGCGTCGTACCGAGCGCGTCGAGACCGTGTCCTGATGTGATCTGCACGGGTGAGTCACGTCGGCGTCAAAGGAGCGACGTGCGACCTGTCAGAGCTTGATCTCCGATCTCAGCGGCGGCGAGTCGTCTCCGGCGCGCGACAAAGGTACATCCCCAGGACGCGCAGAGGCAGCTGCGACCCAGCCGAGTGGACGGCGGCACACCGCGCCACCTGCTGTGTGCCGCCGTCTACTCGGCGGGGTCGCAGCTGCCTCTGGAAGGCACCGAGATGTACCTTTTTGCGCAAATGGTCAAAATCAAGGTTTTGTAACGCGAGCTGTGCCACAGTGAAATGGAACTAGCCAAAAAGCGAAAGGAAACTCGCGACCTCAAATCGAAATCCAATTCCAAAAATATCCACCGTTTTCTACACAGACTCAGACATAAGTAAACGTGCCTATGATCAGTTCCTGTGCATCCTAGCTCTCGCGCAGCGCTAGCGCGCGCCGTCCCCAACCCCGTGTGGCGTGAGCCTCAGCCCGCGCGGAGGGCGAAAGAGTCGCCGTTTTCCACGCAGGCGTCATGTCGCCAGGGGGTGGGCGGCCCGCGCGCGCGGCGCGCGCTGGTCTGCCGCCTCTACGCGGCCACTCCTACACCTTCGCGATGAGCTCGAGCATGTTCTCGATGCAGGAGACCTGCGGGCGGTCGTCGCCGGCAGGGTCGTCGGGCGCCTCGGCGATGGCCATCGCCTGAGCAGAAAACAGAGAGCGTCGCGGCGGAAGAAGAGACCGGCGCGCGCCTCGGCGGTGGGCATCGCCTTGATTTCGCCGTCGACGACATACATGGCCGAGCGCTTGCACCGCTTGGTGTGGCAGCCGAGCACCTGACAAAGAAAGGAGGCGCCGCCCCGTAAAAAAAAACTCGCGGAGGCGAGGCGCCGCCTGGTGTGGCAAGCCGAGCACATTGTTTGGGCCGCCACACTCCAGCGGCGGGGTGCCGGTGCCGTCCGCGAAGGGGGTGCCCGTGAGGTTGGGGTTGGCCGACGGGTTGCCCGTCATCCGGAGGCCTGAGAGCCCCCGGCCGGGGGGGGGGGGGGGGGGTTGGAGGAGGAGGGACAGGAGGGCAGTGGCGGCGGCGGCGGCGGCGGAGAGGGAGGAAGAGGAGGAGGAGGGAGGAGGAGGGAGGAGGAGGTGTCTGTGACTCTTCGATCCTCTGTCTCTTCTCTTCTCCTTTTTAGAGGGGCACCGAGCGCGTCCGTGAGGGAGGCGGAGGTATCCGCCACAAACTCAATCAGCTCGGAGCCGGCCAGCCCCTGGCGGCGGGGCGGGGCGGGGCGGGGCCTCAGAGTCTCCGCTGCGCGGCTCATGATGAAAGGAATTCCCACA